TAGTCTTTCTTCTTTGAGTTTGTGCCCTGCAGGGCGATGCGTCTGTGGTCCATGAGCTTTATGCGCTGGGGTCATTACTGTACGCGCTTTTACGCTTAAAGTGACAAATGATCTCCCCAACGACGCCGCCCAGGAAATAATTTTACTCCTCCAACGCCGATTGCACGGAAATAAATTAAAGCAATTGCTGCAAATAATGACTGCTTTAAATGTGCGGGTGGCTGCGGTGAATGCGGTGGAGGAGGAGGGGGGGGGCAGTACGATGGTTTGACGAGAGCGCGTACCGTGCAGTTGAGCGTCGCGTGTCTAATTTCACCGCTCGGGCTGCGGCAGATCGCCCGGCTGTCGGCATTAATGCAGCAGCAGCAGCAGTAGTCCCGCAGGCCTGCTGGTCCGCTCAGACAGCTCTCCCACTCGCCGTTCGACAAGATCAGCAGCAGCACTGCATACGATGCACACATCCAAGAATAATAGCAAGGGATCATGTAGGAAATCGTAAATGCTCCCAATACGTATTGGTGTTGGCAGTCGTGGCAAGCCCGTGTAAGATGTGGCAGTGCGATGTTACAGGTCAAAGGGGCTCTGCGATGGGAGGTGCTGGAATTTTGAGGTTTTTTTGTTGTTGTTCTCTCTCTCCTTGGGGCCGGTAGGCAGCGGGAAACTGTGGAAGGAAGCTGGCATGAAGGCCGCCTTTGTCTACTCTGCAGCGAATTGTTTACGCTGGAGAGAGTGAGAGGGGAAAGGCTTTCGAGAATTCGTTATTTAATTGACAAAAAAAAAACCGTGTTCACAGTTTTGATGTGGAAAGAGGCGCACGGTGCGCTGCACTCATCTCGGTGCCACAGGCGAAGCTTCGTGTTGGACGACAGTTACAACGCAGCTCACCGGGCCTGTGACAAGTTGTGGTCCCCTCTCGCGCTTCGATGAATTGTCACTGCTCCGGCGTTCTGATTCTGCGCTTGTGAAATCTCTTGTGACTGCAGGGGGTTCTTCCTTTTTTTCTTTCCCATATACATTCGTGTTGGCACCCGCAGGACTCTTCGTGCAACAACGATAATGGGTTTTTTTTTTTGGTCGAACGCCCTTTGTGCCGGGTCGTCTCTTGTGTTCTTTAACCGTACGCCATTCCCCATGGGCCATGGGAACCGCGAATCTTTAAGGCGACGAAGAGTCCTGTGGATAACGACACTGACGGGTGACTGAACCACCTTGCGCCATTTCGAGCCATGAGTTAATCCGCCGCTGAACGAAGGCCGTCCCGTGCCGTGGGCCGTCATGGGGTTGTTTGACCGTACTTCACCACGCTGGTCAGTGCGGGTTGGTGAACGGCAGTGCCCAGAACCGGTTCAGTCGTTGCTCCGATTAGCACGGTTTAAGTTCGCACTCGTGCCACAAATTAACGACAATACCTCGCTAATCTCGTCAAGGACCATAAACCGGCACACGAATTGCGGTCATCCTCGCAGCGGCTGCTTTTGGCTCACTATCGAACAAAGACTGTCACCGCATCGCGCCCCTTCAGATGGGCTTCTGCTGCTCTTCCTTCTGATATCAGGAAGCCACCGGAGCTATGCATTTCAGAATTTAGTTTGAAAACTAATTTCTTGAAAACAGTTTCTTTCTGTGTTTTTGTTGTTGTCCTCCCGCCACCCGCCCGCACCTCCACTTATCACGGTTGGTTATATACGGTGTTAAGGAAGTTCAACATACAGAGGTTGCTTGCTACTGCCGTCATTGGTGGCCAGGAATTAATCTCAACGGGTTAGTGAGCGCAATGCAGCGCTGCACCACCACGCCTTGCTCAGCTGCAGGGTTTAAGTGAACCGATTACATACGACACATACGAATTGAACATAATTGTGTTTCCACACGCACGATTTGGCTTTAATCGATGCATAGTTACGTGCCAAGAGGCCACGAACCAAAGAACCAAATCGGAACACACCACAATACATAGTCACATATGATGAAATAGCCTATGACCAAATCACTATAATTATGCCCAATCCCGTCAGATCTTAACAGCTAAGCGGCATTGGATTTGTTAGTACTTGGGCGGGTGACCACCAGGGCTTGCCAGGTGCTGTAGGTGGGAGACTTTGAGGTGTGGCCAGGAGACGACCGTGCTGAGCGTCACCTCCACGTGTAATGGGAGAGGGTAGGGAGTGGGGGGGGGGTCTTCTCCACTTACTCCGGCTCCCTCGCACAAATTGACAAACTCATTTGATTGATTTTTGTGTGTTTAGTTTGTTGTCCCTCCCACCCCGTCCCGCACCTCCGATTAGCACGGTTGGCTATGTGCGGTGCAAAAGAAGCTCACCGTGCATACGTGAAGCCAATCAATTCATTAATGGAATTGGCAAAACCATCCCAATGCAACAGGGCCCTTGTGAAAGGAGGGGTGGAGGGGGGAGAGTCTTTAGACTCCCGTGAGGTGTCCCCCGGGTAGAGTGATTAGCGTCATTGCAGATGCGTCAGTGTGCATCGTTTACGTTAATGTCGCTGCTCTAAATGGGACGAAGCCAAATCTTAAACGCTGGACATACACCACAGGCCGATGAGCGGGAACGTTGGTGGGTTACAGGTAAGGCAGATGCTCCTCTCTGTTGCGGTGAACATCTCTTCGCCGTGGCAACCTTTAATGTTTAATGTCAACGAATTTAATTAACGTTGATGTTCATGAGCGATAATTCATGATACTGGCCTGCTCAGCTCAGAGGGCCAGTGTTAACAGCAGTATGACTGTGGTAATCGTACGTTTTAACGTAACTTTAAGCGGCGTACATTGTTGGTGATATTCACACAAACATGACTTTGCCTCCATTACAGGTGAAGCAGATTACACCATTTTTTGTTTAATTCTCTCGGCTGCAGTTTAACCTTCACAGGTAACAGCCAACTCGAACGATTTGACCTCGTTAAGGGAGGTGGATAATGGAATTTAGAAGGTCAACATTTAAAGATTGGGACAAAGTGTCTTTTGCAACGATAGTTGTGAGGAATAAAGCAAATGGATATAAAATTATTTCCGTGCAGTTCTGAGATGGCACAAACACGCAATAAGATTATTATTATCATCATCATCATCATTCAGCGATGTGTGTGCGTGTGGAGTACTCGAATGGAGTAGTTGGTGTAATGGTTATGCTAAACACAACACAAGACACTAATCTTATACCCGTTTCCAAATTCGGAGCACTTAGTCGAGCTGAGCAGCTAATTCGACAGCCAGAAACAAGTGGTGTGCTTGCCAACATTACATTATAATATTAATGCACACAAAGCTGCCTTCAACGGCAAACAATGTCACTTTATACGGCGTCTAATTGCAACCACATCAGAGCGCCGTACGGGAGCGAAGAGAACTACATTACGCGTTTAAATGTGAAATAAGTCTTTGGGAAACATCGCAAAGTAAAGATTTCAATTCAAGCGATCTTAAGCTGTGCCAATTCCAAATGCAATGACGCAGCAGGAATATTCTAATAATTCTTCTTCTCAACCAACGGCATTTGAAGCATAGCGTAATTGTAAATTGTAAAATATGTAGTGCCAGTGCGCCTCCGATTTAGCACGGTTGGTTGCGTATGGTGCGAAAGAAGTTCAAGATGCATACAACCCACGTGAACACCAGTGGATTGACAAAGAGGAGATGGGAGGGGGGGTTGTCACTTATAACAACCTCAAAGTATATTTCGGTGAAACGCGCAAGAATTCCCCGCGCGCTTCGGAAATCGAGTCGGCATCGTCACCCTCGTGCCGCGCTCCTCAGGGTGAGGCGCGCGGCACGGCACACGGCCGGCGGTGCCTCGCTGCCGCCCCTGTTCGCGCCTATCGCGTCTCTTCATTGTGGGACGCGGCAGCGGAATTGTTTTCTGCCACTGGGGAGGAGGAGGAGGAAGCCCCTCTCCTCGCCCTGTTGCCCTGCGCCTGCGTGGCGTGTGGGATGCCGTCATTTCCATGCTGCTCCCTGCAGCTTCCCGTTGGGTTACTGTTAGGTGAAGGCAGCCTTTCGGTCTGTGACGTAGACATGCTTTCCTTCTCTAGAACATCATCATCATCATCGTCGTCGTCATAATAATTAAAGAAGTACTGTACAGCACATATTCGATTAACTTGCCAGACGAGGGCTTGAGGGCTATTTGGCCACGCGTCACTACGCTGGTCAGCGCAGGCTGTGAAGGCAGGGAGCGTGGACGCGTGCACATAGAAGTACAGCACAACAATACCGGTTTTTTTACGTGACTTTACCGAAAGAGCCAAAGAGTATGGATCATTGCAGTCACGAAAACTTAAAATCTAGAATTAATACAATTTGTCTGTACTGCTCCCAGCTGCCCACAACGTAGCCCTGCAGTCACCCCTATATACACCACCTGGTTTTTTTCCCCATGGTGGTCACCTAAGCTTCATTTATCACTGAATATATTCCAGGCCGCTAGTTGACTGGAGTAGGCACGTCACTTGTTGCCGCAGCCATGAGAGCGAGAGATACACTGGATACGGTGTGCCGGGTGTGGAAATATTATCCAGGATCGCTGACCCGGACAGACCCCGGTTCATAGTCAGAGCTCGAAGTCGCTCATCCAAGCAGTACCCAGGCTCCGGACGCTGAAGGACTCTGTGACGATGCTTCACCTCGTCGATTGCGTTCATTGTGCACACGTCGAATCTTGCGCGAGAGAATCTGTTTCTCTGACATTTCTGCACGTCACAGGAAGATAAATGCGTTCACGTAACCCGTGCGGCCACGAGACATTCTCCATTCATTTCCGTATAAGAGGAAAAAAATATTCTTAAATCATGACCCTGAGTCGTGGCAATTAATTGAAGTGTGTAGAGGGAGAATCTTTACATGCGTGATTATAATATCATGAATGGTTTTGATGATGAAGATGATAACAGCGATGATCATACGGATGAATCCGATGATGATGAAACCATTGATGACGATGACGCTGACGATGTCGCCGATGCCCCCACCCCCCCCCCTCTTCCAGGCGCACAGCCGGGAGGAGTTCATGCACGAGCGCTATGGCCGCTACCGCCTGGGCGACCCCCTGCGAGCGCTGCAGCGGGACTGGGAGCCGGGGGAAGGCGGCGACGTGTGGGACGAGGGGACCCCCGCGGGGAGCCCCGGAGGGACCCCCGGGGGCTCGCGCCACCGCCTGTCCTCGCCGGCGGCACTGCTCGACACAGTGGTGCAGCAGTGGAGGAGGACGCGCGACCGCGTCACCGCGCGACTCGCGGCCATCGAGAGCCAGCACCGCAAGGTGCGGCGCGCGCGCTCGCGAGGTGGGGGAGGGTGGGGAGGTCGGAGGTCGGAGGTCGGACGGGCGTCAGCTCCTGACGGTTGGAGCTCCCGCTGCCGGTGTAGGGCTTCCGTGGGTATTCGGTTAATTGTTGCTCGCCACTGATGTTAGCCATGGCCGGAAATCAAACACGGGCTGTTGGGTTGAAAGTGCCGTGCATGAATCGCTCCAGGCGGTTGCTGCAAATTGACACACAGACAGGCGGACAGTCGCATTCTTTTCTTTAAAGATGCCTTTTGAGCACATTCACTGAAACACGACATTTCCTAAACCACACCCAATCCGTATTGAGCCACGTACTTAACTACATATTTGTGGGTAGATGAGCAAATGGTGGCAGCCGTGAGCATTGCAATTGGAGATAAATGTGTACATATAATTTTGGATTTATATATAGCGTCGAAATGCCACTACATCTCAAGCCACCGCACAAGATAGCGGCATGCGGATCATGAGATAAGAAGAGGGGGAAATGCATTACTTTTTATTAGAGAAGAGAGGTGGTCAGTCATAGGTGGAGTTTAAGAGAAAGGTATTTAATCCGGACTTGAACAGGGTCCTGGGGGTCGACAGCACGTGTGGCTGGGTAACAGAAGTGGGACGAGTGGTTTAAATTTGCTGGGACTCATCAGCAGAGTCGGGCTTTCTGTCTGCAGGCTAACTAAACGTAATGGCTAATGCAAATGAGATGGCACAAATAAGACATAAAAGAGACGGGTCGTCGTGATATATTATTTTTAATTTTATTTTTCTACCTACGTGACTTTACCGAAAGAACCAAAGAGAAAAGAGACGGGTTATTTAATCAAACGGTGACTCCGAATGGTGACGGTTCGTCACGTCAAGTGGGTTTGTGAATTGCTTCACGCCTATAAACCACTTTAGCATGTGTCGAATTGTTAGTCCCTGTCTCGTAAAGCAGTGGTGTTAGTGTCCAGTTTGTCAGCACATACCCATCCGGGCGCGGGCTAAAGTTTGACTCTGACAATCCACCGGTGTACGTTGGTGATGTCATATTATGACTCGTAGCTATCGACAGCAATCGCTGTGGACCTTGAGCTCTCTGGGACTCGTTCTAACCGATTTTTTCCCTTCGAGACAGCAGGCCATGGGGGTCGTGGTTAAACACAAAGTGAGTTATACTGCATTGCCAGTGGTGCACGAACAAAAAAACACTCCCAGCTTGTAACACTATGATAGGCGATGTACCTTATTCGTAGTTGTATTATAATATATTATAATGTAAGCCGCAGGAGGGAAGTGTCGTGGGTGTTTATCACCGGTGTTTATTACCGCACCGCGCCCTCCGAATCCGGCAACCTGAATTTGATTCCCAGCCACGGCTGACATCAGTGGCGAGCGACATCCCAGCTAGTCCCCGAGACCATCGCCACACCCTCACCCAGGGGCTTATGCCAACCCGCACATGAATCAGCGTGGCGAAGTACGGTCAAATAGCCTCCATGACCAGTGTGGCATGGGAAGGCCTTCATCCAGCAGTGGATGGAAAAGCGCAACTCTAACTGCGATTAATACCATTAATGTAGTTATTGATTTTGAACAAAAGCTGCGTAGCATCCACGGCCCAGTCATTGAGTGCAGAGTGTTGAATGTAACTGTTAGGTTTACCGCGGGACTATAAGCGGTATGAGAGAATGCAGTGGGTTTTATGTCGAGGTAACAGAATACAAAGGAATGTCTAAACACTCCACGGTGGGTGTCGTGTTGTTTGTAGGGGCGAGGCGGTTGAGTGGTCGCGCAGACAGGTAGTAATTTTTTTTCACGAGAGAGAGTGAAAAAAAAACCCATTCAAAGTGTTGAAATCGTGGAAGCATGAGACAGCCCCGGAGCATGTGGTGGTCTTATCCAGACTCGGCAATACACAATGGAAAAGAGGTACGTCATGAGATTTACACAGGTTTTCTCTTAAAAACAGGCTTCGACAATTATTTACCCAGGAAAGCCTCACTAGGTCACAAGACCCATTTTTTTTTAAAGAAGGTTCCACATTGGAATGTTTGTCCGATTCAACGAATTAGATACATGGCTTCATAAACCACTGGACATCCGTGAAACTCCTGGAAATTGGTGAAAAAGAGCTTCATAGCTCATCGGATTGCCTCCAGGAAGAAATAAGGAAGCAAAAGTCAAACATAAACGCACGTGAAGTCGGCGTCGGCGAGCGCGAGTTTCATCGCCGCGGTCGTTTCGCGCGTCTCTCTCTCGCTCTCTCCGCAAGGCTCCGCCGTCGCACGTTCCCACGAGCGACTTCCTCCCCGCTCTGTTGTCAGATACAACCGTGCCCCCGTGCCCTCCGCGAAGCGGCGCGGCTGTCGGCATTCTGAAACTTGGTTCCCGTGCGATTAAAAAGATTATGAGAGGGAGGCGCGGAGGCGCAGCTGACATCGTCGCCGTCCAACGAGGCGCCCGTGTCGCCGGCGTTGTACCAAACAGTCCCCGGTGGGTGTTCGGTGCTGCGCTGCCATACCTGGGGTGAAGCACCGAGCCTCCCTACCTCACTTTGCTTGACGTAAATCAACGTCGAGCAGTCGGGTTGATCGATGATGCCACCGCTCACTTTTTTACCACTGCTAAACATGGTTACTGTTCAGCACCCCGCTTAAAATTTTCACGCCGAACCCTTGCGGTGGTGAAGCCGCTCGCGAAAAGAAACAATGTCGGTGCTGAAGTGAGTGACTTGGCATCTCAAATGCAAGTCCCTTGACTTCACAGGTGGCCTGTAAATTGTTATGATCCGGTTTTACTGTCTGGCTGGTGCCGATCGGTCTGTTCGGTGTTGACTAAGTTGCAGGCTCGGGTTTTCCACACGGGGCTTTAAGGCACGTTGCGTGTATAACTTTATTAAGTAAGAACCGTCAGATTTTATTATTTTGGGTCCCTTCATCAATGCACCGCTGCATTTGAGGCCTCGCTATGCCGTTACCACGCCGGTCAGCTCGTGGGGAGCCTCCACACGGTGGAGGGCTCCCCCCGGGCTGCCTGGGATATTTTTTTTTTGCCACCGATGTTAGCCGTGGCCAGGAATCAAACTCAGGTGGCCAGATTTCGGAGCACAGCGCGCTAGCCACTGCACCACCGCTCCAGCCCCGGGTCGTCATTGTACGTGGCCAAATCCCGCGATTCAATTACAGAATATATTATTTTTTATTATACATTGTGGCTTGATGTAACGGCCCTGATTTTAGTTAGATGTCAAGTGAACCGATTGCACATGATGTTTGTGAAATAAAAAAGACATTAATTTGTACATTACGAAGTTTTATGCATGCATTGCATCGGTTGCCTTTGACCAAATCGCCCAGTATATGCCCGATCTTATCAAATCTCGGAAGCTCAGCAGTGTCGAGCCTAGATAGCGCTTATATGGGCGACCCAGCATACACAAAAGAGGTTCTCATAGGCTGCTGTGCAGCTGTTCAATGTTGTCGGCAGCAGAGGGCAGCGCGGCAAAAGCCACTGTTGCACTGTACATCTATGCACCCGCATTCACCAACCCGCACTGACCAGCGTGGTAAGGCATGGTCACATGGACCCCTATTGTGACCCAGATGGTGTGGGGAGGCTTCTCATCTAGCAGTGGATTAAACAACAAAAAAAGGGCTGTACAAGGGCACGCATTGGTTAGGATAGGAATCAATAATGAATCAATGCGTGGATTCATCATGACATCCCAATGTGTAAGGGCACGCATTAGTTTTGGCCTGAGGGGTGGAGCTGAGGACAGCGTGGGCTGGAATACAGTGCCGTCGCTGCTTTTGCAATGGACAAACACATTCCTGTGCTCTGCAGAGACATTTGTTTGGTTGCCCGTTCAAAGAAGTTTCCACTTACTTCAACAAGAAAAGTGGGAAGAGGAGAGCCATGAGGGCAACATAACCTAAGGTCTTGCGTCACCCTTCTTGGCCACAGCAGAGCCAGCATCACTTCTCCTCGGGCGCTTCAACAACTCTCCGAATTCCAAACGCGTCGGAGATTCACCAGCAGTGACCGAGAGGCTTGGCCCACGTGGAAGAGTAGGCCCAAATATCATTAATTTAAAAGGAAAGTGGGCGACCAGCATTCACAAAACGGGTTCTCATAGCCTGATGCGCAGCTGTGTTGTAAGAAGGTAATTGCAGGGCTTCACATTTACCCCTTACCATCGATGTTAAAAGCATCTAAATATATACTGCATTTGGTTTGCCACTTAACTTGGCATGTTGTTGCAGCTCTGGGCAGACTGCCGTATTGATTGGGTTGATTCCCACGTGATGAACACGCTTGCAAGGCATACAAAGGGGCATGTCCCTAGTGTGGCTAAAACGACTATTGGGTGGTCTTCGGAAGTAGTTCTATGACATAATCTTCTGAGGCCACCTTTTGACACAAGGTGATGTACTGCCTGCCGCAAGAGTTCCGTGTGTAAATTTCGTAATTTGACGCTCATGAGTTTTATGCAAAACGGCATTTGCGCCGTTGCACGGACGAGAGACGGCTTGACATGTCTACGGCTTGGTGAGGCCTTCATCCAGCAGTGGATATATCATGACGACGACGACGAAGATGCTGGTTTCTCCGTCACCGTCCGAGTCTTCAGGCTGGAAACTTGACCAGAAGGCATCTTCCACGATGCCTGCAGGAGAGCGGTTGACCTCTGGGTCACACATTGGCGTTGGCTCGCTACCCAGTGGACGTCCCGGGGGGGGGGGGGGGGGGGGGGGGCGGGGGTGTTCACAAAGCACGCGCATGCCAGTGGCGTAGTTCGTCGAGTGTGCAGGCGGTGAAACTGCACCGGGGCCCACGGGCCGGAGGGATCTTTGTCACCTAAGTTAGGGAGGGCGGGGGGGGGGGCAGGTTCCGAGCTACGAAAAAGGGAGGCAAAGCAGACAAGCGGTGGTGGCCTCGTTTCATTTTGTTGAGGCTTTTTACCCTTTTTGGTAGTATGACAGGTGTATGGTGTT